TGGGCCAATTGGGCCGCATGGTAGTAATGTTTGAAGTTGGGTAGTCCCAGCCCCCCTCTCAGTCTAGGGACGTACATTGTTGTTCTACGGATCCTGGGTTTCTTGGCTTTCCATATGAATTTGTCTATGGCCGTCTGGAGACGCTTGAAATCCGAGTTTAGTAGCGGGATGGGTAGTGTCTGGAAAAGGTAAAGAAATCTCGGCAGGAGGTTCATTTTGATTGTGGTGATTCGCCCCATCCAAGAGATTCCCAGTTTGTCCCATCGTTGGAGGTCTGCGTATGCTGTTTTGAGGAGTGGCGTGTAGTTGATTCCGTATGTGTCTCCAAGGTCCGAGGATAGCTTGGTGCCTAGGTAGGTAATGAAGGACTTGGTGACGCGAACCGGGAAGGAGTGGTGGAGCAGTTGCAACTGTGGGTCTGATAGAGCTATGGGCATTAAAGTAGATTTGGTTAGATTGATTTTGTATCCTGAGAGGGTAGAGTATTCGCTTATGAGGTGCAGTATTGCATGTAGAGAGGATATGGGATCTGTTAGAGTGAGAAGAACATCATCAGCGTACGCTGCCACTGTGTACGCTTCCTGTCTTATCTGCACTCCCCGAATGCTGGGGTGGAGGCGGATAGCTTGGAGCAGGGGTTCCAGTGCAATTGCAAAGAGGAGGGGGGAAAGGGGACAGCCCTGCCTGGTCCCATTGGCGATGGTGAAGGTTTGGGCATTGACGTGCGGGAGTAGAAGAGTTCCCGTGGGACGATTGTAGACCGCCCGCAAGATGTTCAAGAAGCCTTGCGGAAATTGTAGATGTGTGAGTACTCCGTACATGAATGGCCAGAGAAGGCGATCGAACGCCTTCTCCGCATCCAACGAGAGCACCACTGACGGGATGTTGCGATGTTTGGTGTACCAGATCGTATCGAAGGCTCTTCTGGTGTTATCCGCCGCCTGCCGCGTGGGGATAAATCCGACCTGATCTGGGTGAATCAGTGTGGGAAGGTACGGATTAAGGCGTTTGGCCAGTACTTTCGTGAGTATTTTCAAGTCGATGTTTAATAGGGAAATTGGGCGATAGTGCCCTGGGTCTAGGTGTTCTTTCCCAGGTTTGGGTAGAAGGCAGATATCAGCCGCCAGCATGTCCGGGGGGAGTGGGTGGCCTTCCAGCGTTGCGTTGAAGACTTTGCATAATTGTGGTATAAGGATCGTTTGGAATGTCTTATAGTAGATGGCTGTAAAGCCGTTGGGTCCTGGGCTTTTCCTGGGTTTCAGCGTCTTGAGGACCGCGGCGATCTCTTCCACCTCCACGGGTGCTTCTAATCTGTTTTGCTCCTGTGTAGAGAGGGTGGGAAGGTTGAGGGGTTTCAAGAAGGAAAATATGGTGTCCGTGTGCGCCGTTTCTCCTGTTGGTGTCATGGTGTTGTGGTTATATAGGTCGGAGTAATATTTTAGGAATTCGCGGGCTATGATTTCGGGGTCCGTTGATAGCTCTCCGTTTTGGGTTTTGATTTTGGAGATCTTTTTTTGGTCCTGCTTTTTCCGGAGGCAGCGTGCTAGTAGTGAATCGGCCTTATTTCCCTTCTCATAAAAGCGCTGTTTGGACCACATTAGGTTCCGTGCGACGTCCGCCGCCGAAAGTTGGCTGATCTGTTCCCTCGTAGATTTGAGTTGCGAGAGTAGGTGTTCGGAGGGGTTCTGTTTGTGTAGGGATTCGAGCTTGTCGAGGGTGGTCAAGGCCTTTGTGAGTTTCGAGAGGCGTTGTCTTTTGAGGGCCGTGGCTAATGATATGAGGGTACCTCTAATGGTAGCTTTGTGGGCTGCCCACACCATGGGTGGGGTTGTGTCTTCGGTGTCGTTGAGATCGAAATAGGTTTTGAGGTGTTCCTCCATAGTGTGGATCGTGGCTTTGTCTTTTAGGATCCAGGGGTTCAGCCTCCATTGCCATGGGCGTGCTCCGAGTGGGATACTTACTGTAAGCGAGATTTCCGCGTGGTCAGACCATGCTATGTTTCCAATGTGGGAGTGGATGGACCACGGCAGCACCGCTGGCGAGACCAAGAAGCCGTCAATACGGGAGTAAGATTTGTGGGTATGGGAGTAAAAGGTGAAGTCGCGAGACGACGGGTGCTGGCTCCTCCAGACATCCAGTAGGGAGGTCGTAGATAGAAAGTCGGCGTACAATTGGTCGTTCCTAGTCGGGGCTGGTGCGGTGCCTGTGTGTGCGCGACGGTCCAGAGTGGGGGTGTAAGTTGCGTTGAGATCACCTCCTATGATTAGATGTTTGGCTGGTAGGCCGGCTAGATGGGTTTGGAATGTGTGCCAGAATGTGGTGTCTGGAACGGATGGGGCGTATAAAGAGCATATCGTAAGGGGGAGGTTCCCCGCGTAGCCTGTGAGGAAAATAAAACGGCCTGAGGAATCCTTGTGGGTTTGTATGTCCGTTAGTGGGCATGTGTTGCGTAGCAGGATGGCTACTCCCTTCTTTTTGGGCTCCTGTGAGTTGGCTAGGTAGCTGCGTTTGAAGTGTCTGTTAACTAGCGGGAACTGCTTCTGATCTGTGAAATGGGTTTCTTGGAGCAGTATGATATCCGCCCCTGTGCGGTTAGCCCAACGGAGTATCCCATGTCTTTTCCCAGGCGAGTTGAGTCCTTTGACATTAAGAGAGGTGATACTAATGTGGGTTTTCCGGTGCGCCATTTGTAGTGCTTAATGGTGCTTATAGGAGGCTGAAAGGTGGGGGATAGCTGTGTACCGTCGCCCGGTATCCGGGTTCGTGCTGCCTAGATAGGGCAGAGAGGGGGAAGGTGGGGAGTGGGAAGAGGGGTGGGGGGGTAAGGTTAGGGGTGGTATGGGGGCCCTGCCTGCGTGGGCCCGTCTGAGGGTCTCAAAGGGAGTTGGGTGGTTGAAGACTGGACTTATCAACCTGGCCAGTCGTGGAAGTGGCGGGGGTCTCGGTGTGTTGTCCTGGGGCTCTTTTGGCAAGATCCAGGGTGGCCGAGGCCAGTGGGGGAGGTGTCTGCAGAAGTGACAGAGTACGTCCGCGACCTGCCTGCGAATTCGCAATTTGATCTGAGCCGGGGGGGGCGCGGGGGACGGAAGGGGAGGGGGGGGAGCGGGGTCCCGGGGGTCCCATTTGTGTGTGCGAGGTCGGTCTGGGCCAAGGGGGTTCTGTTGTCTCGGCCCCGCCTGTGCGGGGGGCGGCTCTCCGTAAGCTTGGAATGGTGTTGTGGTTGATGTGTGCCCGAGGGGGCTCCCGCACGTCCGGGCCCGAGGGCCAGGTCCGCGCAGCCCGTGTGCCTCCACCTGTCCCGTTGGGAAGGAGGTGCCCTGCGGCCTCCATATCTGGGCCTGTCCGTGGGTCGCCCCCCAGGCGCAGGTATGTGTGTATTGTGCCCGCCCGTGTGGGGCCTAGTCTTTGGCCATCTCCCCCTGACCTATCGTGCGGGGTGGGGGCAGTGGGTCTCCAATAGGGATGATGTTGCCGCCTTCGGCCCGTTGGGCCGCGAGTGGGGGATGGTGCTGAGGTGTAGCATAAGCTATGGTGCCTGGTGTCGTGGCGTGTGGCATATTGATGGGCTGAGTGTCGTGTGTGTCCGCCCGCCACCCACAGCCCTAGTGAAGTGCATCCCGCCCGCAGCCACCCACTTTCCCAATAAAACATTTTAACATTATAGCGTAACCTTGCTTGCATGCAATATAAAATCATACCAAACATGTCAACTTTGTCGGAGGAGAGGAAGCAGCGGTCTTGACAAGCGTCTCATGCCTCCCCAGTCGTGAGCCGTTGTTTGCAGACCCCCCACCCCGTGTCGCCGTCGGTGTCCTTTTTGCGTCTGGGGAGGATTGAAGTCCAGTCCTTCCATGTCTCGTCTGTCAATAGGAGGGGAGGGGAGAGGGGCGCGCGGGGCGCGTGGGGGCCAGTCGTGCGTAGTTGTCCTGCGGTTCTGAGTTAAGTCAGGGAGGTGCACACGGGGTGAGTCCTGTGTTAGCCAACTCCGGTCTCCCGGGGTGGGGGGGGCAGGCACAGTCTGGGTGTCCACTGTGGATGGGGCCTGGGGGGGTATGGGTCCTACACTGTCGGGGTGCTCCGTAGAAGGGCGTTCTCATTGGTTTCTGTCCTGGAGGGGCCGTGGGTACATTCAATCAAGCGGGGCCGCTCCTGGGGACAAGGGTCACCAGTCATCCCGGGGATGTCCCCATTTCTTTTGGTGTTGTGGCACCCTCCTGTTGGGCCGGAGGGGGGGGGCGCCGGGTGCGGCGCTCTGGGGCCGCTGCCGGTGACCGACATTGGGGCTGGCCGTGGCCGTCCAAGTCGGGGAAGGGGCCAGCGGGGGCAGTCCGGGCAGTCAGCTCGTCTGTGCTGTAGAGGGTCCTGGACCCCTTGTCTTGTTACCCTCCCGCCCCCACCCCCCCAACAACAACGGCCCCCCCACCCCAGCCTCCCCCCTCCCTCGGTCCGGGGGGCAGCAGCTCCAGTGTACAGAGACCCACACTCCAGGTGGGGGAGTCTGCGCCCCCCGAAGGCCCCGTACCAGATGCCGGCTCCGGCCAGGATATAGTCCCAGTCCTCCCAGGATCGTCCCTCTATAGTTTGCGCTGGCGGAGGGTGTGTGGCTGTCCGTGATCCGGGAGTCTCCGTGCTCACGGTCCATATCGTGGGTGATCGTTGATGTGGTCTCTGGTGAGGGCTAGAAGGTCGTGGGCAGGCCTTGGTATAAAAGGAGGGGAGGTCGGACGCCCGGGGCGAGGGGGGAACTTGCTGCAAATATTCCGGTACATTGGTCCCGGGTCCGACCACGTCCGTGGGGGGGGGGCCTGCGCTTGAGCCCTCAGACTCTGTGGGGACTCGGCTCTCCGGCCCACTGGGGTGTCTGGAGTGTGGAGGTTGGGTCCCATGACCAGTCTCGTTCCATGGGGGCGTGTGGGCTCCGTCCCAGGGGGCCAAGGCCCGGGGCCAGGAAAAAAAAAAAAAAATTTTGTTTGAAGATTAAAAAATAAAGTTCTAGTCCCCTAGGGGGTCCCAACAGGGGTTTCGTCTGAGGGCATGGGCGTAGGGGGCCGCAGACCGCTGCTCCGTTCGTGCTTCCTCTCAGTGCGGTGAGTTTTCCGGCTGGTTGAGAGCCGCATTCCGGTGCATGCGTTCACCGGGTCTGGTGGGCAGGTTGCTGGCCAGCGATCGTTGGTGAGCCTGGTCGGCCCTTGGGTGCGCTGTGTCGGGTAGTTGCGGTAGGTCCAGCTGGTCCAGGAGCGTGGGGATTTCCTCCGGTTTCGTGATGGAGTGGAACCTGCCATCTTTGCGGATGATGATCCTGAAGGGGTGACCCCAGGCATACCGGAGGCCATGTCGGGTAAGGTGCTGTGTGAGTGGACGCAGGTCTCTCCTGCGTTTCAGGGTGGTCGGCGCCAGATCCTGGAACAGCTGGACCGGAACCCCCTCCACCACCACAGGGCTATCTCGGGCTGCTTTCATAATGCGTTCTTTAATGTGGTAAAAGTGTAGTTTGACGATGATATCCCTGAGGGTGGACATGTTGGTACTGGGAGCTCGCAATGCTCTGTGAGCCCGGTCCATAAGGAGGTCGGCAGCTGTAGCTTCTGGGAGTAGGGTTTGGAAGACCTCTGTGAGAGTGTCGGTGAGTAGGTCTGTGGAGACGGATTCCGGAATGCCCCTCACTCTAATGTTGTTCCGCCGTGTTCTGTTGTTCAGGTCTTCGTTTGCATCTTCAAGTGAGCGCAATTGGTCTCGGAGAGTTTGTATCTCGGTCCCCTGTGTTGATACCGTTTCTTCTGTGGCCGCCATTTTGTCTTCTGTGGCCTGTGTTCGAGCTGAGAGTTCCGACATGGTTGCCAGTATGGGGCATAGCCTTTTTTCAAGTTCTTCAGCCACGGACTGTTTAAAGTCGGCCAGGAAGCCCCTCATATCGTTCCTGGTGAGGGGGGCTTCAGTACGTTCCGAGTGAGCGTGGCTGCTCATTTCGGAGTCTGAGTCCGTCAGGGGGGCCTCCGAAGATGGCGCCCGGGTCTGCTCGGGCTTCTGCCTAAAGATCGGCGCCACTGCCGAGTTACGGGCTTTTTTCCCGCCGCTCATGGAGAGGATTAGTGCCGGCTGTAGCAGGGGTAAGAAGGGATGGGTGTAGGATGTGTGGGGGGCTCAGGTGCTGTGGATGGCTTCGGATTCAGGCTAGGCCTTTGCGGAGCTAAGGGGTTATGCTGCCATCCTCGTGCAGGGTTAGGCTCCGCCTCCCCTGCATTTCAATGTTAATCAAGTTACTAGCTCACTCCAGGTTATCTACAGAAACTAAGCAGTGTACAGCTATAACACATTAACTACTTAACCAAGCTGAATGTCGTTATGTTTTTGTTCAACATTCAATACATATAAAATGTGCACGCCTATCTATTGCCCTATTGTGACTACTGAAACCAAGCCAGGGGGATGCCGTTGGGGTACCTCAGGCATGTATGTACAAATCTTTGCACGCCAAAAAATAAAACATTTCAAAAAATAAGTATGGAAAGTTTTTCTAAAAATGTTTAATGGAAGATCAATGTGGCAAAAGGTTCACAGATTCTGATTGTTTGGAGCTGTTTACAGATGCATCAGGTGCTATTGGTTTTGGCATATATTGGGATGGGCAATGGTGTGCACAAGAATGGCCAGATCTTTGGGCACAGGAAGGCTTAACCAAAATTCGAACTTTGTTGGAATTATTTCCAATTGTAGCAGCAATATATTTATGGGGAGATGCATGGAAAAATAGGCGGCTGATTGTCACTAGAGACGTCGCGAACTGTCCGCCGGCGAACAATAGCGTGTTCGCGTTGGGCGAACATATCCGATTTCCGGTCCGCTCCCTATACGTCATCATTGATTAAACTTTGACCCGGAACCTCACAGCCAGCAGACATATTCCACCCAATCAGCAGCAGACCCTCCCTCCCAGGAAGTGTCTGCTGACTGTGAAGTTCCGGGTCAAAGTTTACTCAATGATGACGTATATGGGGCGGACCGGAAATCGGATATGTTCGCCCAACGCGAACACGCTATTGTTCGCCGGCGGACAGTTCGCGAACAGTTCGGCAGACAGTTTGCGACATCTCTAATTGTAATCTCTAATGGTAATTATTTACAGTCTAGGTGTAAAAGGGTTATCAATTTACTTAGACATTTGATGTTAAGGTGTTTACAATTGAACATTTGAGTGAAAGTTAGAAGTATACCAGGCAAGATGAATAGGCTGGCTGATGCTCTTTCACGATTACAATTGCAGGAATTTCGGGAAATGGCACCGAGAGCAGCTTTGGAAGGAATACAGTTTCTGTCAGACCTTTGGGAATTCATTGGTGACAGTTAAAGGACCACTCTAGGCACCCAGACCACTTCAGCTTAATGAAGTGGTCTGGGTGCCAGGTCCAGCTAGGGTTAACCCATTTTTTCATAAACATAGCAGTTTCAGAGAAACTGCTATGTTTATGAATGGGTTAAGCCTTCCCCTATTTCCTCTAGTGGCTGTCTCATTGACAGCCACTAGAGGCGCTTGCGTGCTTCTCACTGTGATTTCACAGTGAGAGCACGCAAGCGTCCATAGGAAAGCATTGTAAATGCTTTCCTATGCGACGGGCTGAATGCGCGCGCAGCTCTTGCCGCGCGTGCGCATTCAGCCCAGGAGGAGGAACGGAGGAGGATCGGAGGAGGAGAGCTCCCCGCCCAGTGCTGGAAAAAGGTAAGTTTAACCCCTTTTCCCCTTTCCAGAGCCGGGCGGGAGGGGGTCCCTGAGGGTGGGGGCACCCTCAGGGCACTATCGTGCCAGGAAAACGAGTATGTTTTCCTGGCACTATAGTGGTCCTTTAAGTGTCATGCTGATGAATTCCGTAGCAGCCTCTACTTAGAGTGCATATGTTAGGGCATGGAATGAGTGGTTCAATTTTAATAATGTAAATGGAAAAGATCCGTTTTGGAGAGGATAAAGAAAGTGCAATACAATTTACATTGGTTTCCATGCAGAAAGGTTTTTCTAAGTCTGTTTGCCTGTAGTTTAGCTGGGGTGGATTTCTTTCGGAAACTGTGCGATTTGTAAGCCAATCAAACGGTATTTCATAGTAAATCAGTTGGTTCGAGGCTATAGGAAACCTATATCGTTTGCAGGTCTTTCAGTTATTTGAAGTTTTGGAAGAGGTATGCTCTTCTTCGTGCAAGGTTAGTTTTATTTAGATGTTGGTTTATAATGGCATTTTTCGCAGTTTTAAGAAATTTTGAGTTGGTTGCTAGGAGTAAATTTTATTTATCAGGTTTGCAATGGGAGGATATTATAGTTAGCAATAAGATGGTAAGTGATGGTATTTATAAGCAAATCCAAAACAGATCAAGAAAGCAAAGGCAGATGTTTATCATTGCTGGAGATTTAAGGATCCCCCTTTTGTGTCCAGTGAAAGTGACTGAAGAATATTTGTCACCAAGACCGAGGGTGGAAGGTCCATTTTTTTTTTTAAATTTTTTTTTTAATGCATTTTGACGCCATTCCTTTGACTAAGTTTCAATTTACAAAGGTCTTCAAGATATGCATGGATAGGTTAAATTTAGCAGATGAGCATTATTCATCTAATTCATTTAGAATTGGAGTGGCAACGTAAGCAGCAAGGTGTGGTTTAAGTGATGAAATAATTCAAAGGTTGGAAAGATGGGAGTCTAACAGATTTCAATTATACGTTAGGCCTCTCTTCTTTTTTTTTTTTTATTCTTTTTTTTCAAATGACAGAATTGACAGGCACGTGTGTGTTGTGCAAAGGTAATGCATGGGCTTATGCAAAAGCCAAATTTCAAACATTTTGACAGTACATCATTATACAGAAAAGTTTGTAGAGAAAGGGTTGTTATCTGGTGATGCAACATTAGTTTCTTCTTATGCGGTTCGGTTCTGTCAAGTTTTTATACAATTAAACAAAACGAAACAAGTTTAAATGCAACTTTAGGTAGCATTGGAACATCAAGAGGCAATTAAAGGTTAGGAAAATAAGAAAAAATTTAATTAAAATGAAGGGTAAAGTGTGGTAGAGAAGCTCCATATAGGCCTCACTTGTTCAAAAGTTTATTTTATTTTTTTATATCTGTTTAATGTTATTAAAGTTTATTGATGACTATAAATATCAGTGTGTGTGTGTGTGTGTGTGTGTGTATATATCTGTGTATGCATGTATATATATTAATACATTTCTTTCGTTAGGAAATAAGAAGCCAGCGATTGCCTGGGTAATTGGTCACTTGTTTATAGTTTGGACCCAGAAGAGGGCAAAGGAGCGGACATATGGTGAAAATCTTGGAAAGGGCTGCTGTTTTTTTGTTTTTGTTTTTTTGTTTTTTTTTTTGGGGGGGGGGGAAGGAATTTGTGGAGCCAGGTGGTCTCAATTATTTGAGATAATACAGCAATGTATACTAAGATTTTGCTTATCCAGATGTGATAATAGTTCAATTGGGAGGTAACAGTATTGGTTCGATAAAATCAGTAAATTTGCTGCAAGAGATTAAATAAGATTTGGTTTTTATAACGCAAATATTTCAAGATGTTCGTTTTATCTGGTTGGAAATATTTCATGGCGCTGCTGGGTAAAAGTAAGTGTTTTAAAACCGTTGGAAAGAGTGCAGAGAAAATTGAATCGAGCTTTAGAATTTTTTTTGACTACTTTGGGTATGACTTCATATAGACAGGGTCGGATTAACATAGGGGCTGATGGAGCTGCAGCTCCAGGCCCATTGCTTTTTTTGGTTTTTTTACACACTACTCTTAGGGTTGCCACCTGGCTGGTATTTGAGGCTGCCTAGACGGTGCCGGTATTGCAGGAATACCGGCAATACAAATATCATTGTTATCTATAGTGTACCACTGTAGTATCTTGTACTTGCAGCTACAATCCATTAATTAATAATCTGGCTGTTAGGATTTGATTGGCAAAATTGTAATTCACCACTTTCTTGTCCCCTCCCATTCCTCTGCCCATGTTTGCCACTCCTAGCTGTAAATACCTTTATATAACTGTTTCTCTACTCCCTCCCTAGGCCCATTTCCCATACCATCTCTACTGCAAGCCTCTACTGGGCTCAACCCTCCTCCCCCCCCCGCCCCCAGGATCCCCCTAAATTTATAGCATGCTCACGGGCTATCTACCTATGCACGTTGTATAAAAGTGCTTGAATGGCAAGACTTCAGCTTATGGGCAGGGCCCTCTCTACCTTTTGTATTTGTCTGTGTATATTGTATGTTTTCCACTAATTGTACAGCGCTGCGGAATCAGTTGGCGCTTTATAAATAGTAATAAATATCTGTCTCAGTATAAACTGAGATTATTCTGCAATACCAGCACTGGCCAGTAAGGGTCGCCGTCTGTGTGTGGAGAGAGGCAGGGATAGGAAGTTACAGCATCTCCCTCCATGCCTCTTTCTACTCACTGATCTGCGGGAGCCATCGAAAGTGGTTATGGTTAATATGTTGGTTTGGTTTAAATTAATGTTTTTATTATTATGGTGGTTGATGTTTTAATGGGAATTTTGAAATCCGTAATAAAGGTTCAAGATCATTCTCCAAAGTGTATTATTGAACTTATTAAATAAACAATTTGATAAAATAAGTTGTTTGTTTATTTATATTATGTATCATTAAGATTGCAACATTTAAACCTCATGGCAATCAGCCACATCTAAATTGATCACAGGTTGTATAGGATACATATGTAAAGTTATTCAAGTGTAAAAGTCCTCTGAATCCATCCCAGATCATTCAGACTGCAAAATCTGAACTTTGTCCACGCTATTAACCAACTTGGTGTTTTTTTTGGTTTTTTTTCTCCAATACTGGCTTTGAGACAAAAGTCTGTCTGGAAGCAACTGAAAGGATGACATCTAGAACTGAAAAACTGAATATGCTACTGGATTAAATTTTTGAAAGATGGTTATTGATGTGGAAATCAATCAATAAATTGATTATCTTGCGTATCTGCCCCTTTTCAAACTGGTTATGGTGCATGCATGCGTTCCAAAGTAAATCACACCAGACACGTTTCCCAGTTGATGAAATACTCTGGAATGTTTATTTTGGGGGGTTGGACCCCCTTATAAAGCACTAATACATCATATGCATAATTACAGATAACAGAGAAGATTACATCAATAATTGGTTGTGTTTTATTCAAAGCACGTCCTACTGGGTGTGCCATCTTTTGTCATTACTGTCGTCATGAAGTTCTCCCCCGGATTCCAGCGCCATCTTGAAAATGAGTCTTTAGTCGATGGGAGGGGTACTCCTGAGTGACATCTAGTGGTCATTTTAGTAATTTATTGAATAATACTGATTATAAATAAATGGAGTAAATAGGCATTTTAATTTAGCTAATATTCTGTCCACAACAGTCCCCCTTAAAATGACTATTTACGACTTAAAACAACTACAGTAAGCATTCAAAAATTTAAAACAAATCATAAAACAGACAAGGAGAGCAAGAAAATGAACATTAAGAAGACAGCCACGCCTATCTGGGTCAGAACCTTTTGCTAGCCATTCATCCATCAAACCATCTACCCCATGAATTAATGGTTCCTGAATTCCTTTTAATTCTTCAGAGGGACACCCTAGCTTCTCTATTGTCAAGGTTATGTTACCATATGAACCTGTGTTATCTGCAATGTAGGTACAACATGTCATGTAATAGTATCTGGGAGTATTTTACATACTCCTTCCTTCTTTGCCAAAATCGTGTCTAGGGCCATCTGGGATGTGTGTAAGAGTTAAGCCAGCTCTTGTAAGGCATCTCTAGTATAATTAACAAAGCACTGTTGGATGTAATAGATATAATAAATGCAAATCAAAATATTATTAGCAGTGATGGTTGAGGAAATACTCAAACTTCATCTTTGACTTTGAAACCATTTGGTACCCCCCTTGGCACCCCTATGACATCAATATATATGTGGGTCAAAACTTCCCTCTACAGGGGTACTCCTTTTTGTCCTGAAGCTTGAATGTGGTGTGTCAAGAGTACCTCGGTGATTGTCATATATTATGTGTATGG